CTTGGCTTACACGTAAAAATATGTCAAACAGTTCTAATTATTGTTCGAATGTGAGGTACCGAAGCATACCCCTGGGAAAGGACAGTATTTTCCATGATTACATTTTTAATGAGAGAATAGTAGTTTTTATATGAAACGATGCAGTATTAAACGATCTTTCTGACCAATATAGATTGAGCTTGAAACATTACCTAAAAGTCGTATATTTTGAGCTAATACTAGACAACCCGGAGCCCAATGAAACTTCAATACTTTTTTGCAGGCATTCTCCTTCAAAGTGGCTTATAATCCTTACAGCTTGACTTGAAATTATTACCAAAAGAATCACCACATTTTTTCACATAGGATGGGCAATAAATTGACTGAAAATATTATATGGGCCAAATCGGCTTCTTATGCTCCCCTGTTCTTTCAATCTTCAAAACAATTTGTCAAATCGTTTCATAGTAACACGTCCGAAAGTTCCATCTAATTTCAAGAAATCTAATTTTTATGTTCAAAATAAATTTTTAAAGATGTTTTAGAATTATTTCACAGAATGTAAGAGAAGAAAACCATTACTATTGAATATATCACTTCCTAGAAATCGACAACTTTCATATCACAAGTTCAGATCTAATGAACTGTTGAAACAGATCATTCCACTAGAGAGGTGTAGATCCTTTCCAGACTCGAGCTCGGATTGAGAAGTTTAGTTTTTCTGGACTATGGGTTCACAAAAACTTGAACCCGCAGTTCTCTCGACATGCGAAAATGAACAACAACAAATAACTGTATGTTGACTTTTTCTGAGAATAGCCAATAAATAGCTACAACTATGATCCTTTAGTTGTTCATGTACACAGAGGATGTCAGATATTGATAGAAAAAATCTCGGGTCCACAAAAAAGCCCACTCGCTGAACGTACCGACTTCTAATCCTTTCTTTGATAGTTAAACGGTAATTTTCCTTCTAAGTAAGAGCCGACCTTGGTCAATCGATTGCAATAAAAATTCTTTAATATACAGTAAAATTTCCCATAGTAAATACTTTCTTGTACATCGAAATGATTTTGGCTAGAATTGAACCTTTACATAGTGAGCATTGTCATATACTTCTATGATGAATGCTTTTAAAAAGTCTAATGGATGTCCATTATAAAGAGATTATACTGTATATCTTTTTTCGATATGTTCGTAACTCATAAAGCCAATCCATTGTTGAAATGGTCAAATTATCACATAGATCTTCGCATAAGAAGACTGATTTCAATGCTATTTATCAGTCATGCAAAACAATTACTAGCAGGTTCACCATCAACGAGTCTTTCAATTTATTGTAGGTCATACATGCTACTAAAAGATTAGGAGATTCGGACTTTCAAAGGAAAATCCAAAACATTTGTGGGGAATCTAAATCCATACAATTGGATATTTATCGTACATTTTATTGGTTAAATGCCGGTAATTGAAATGATGTAACTTTAATTAAATATTAATAAAAAAAGCAAAATTTTTCATCTTAGATCGGTACTATTGGGTTTCATTTGATCCAATTAATGTTGCTGAAGGACTTTTTGCTATTGCAAATATATTTAGTTTTTCACGTATTTGTTTTCTACTACCAGCATTTCAACATTTGGGACCATTACAAATATCGTTGGGTCGAATGATGTCTGTTAGTATTTCTAGGCCAAAACAAAATATTTCATAATTTGTTATCTCTTTCTTCTTTGTAAGGATATTGGAAAATTTATTATAATATTTTTAATAATATTCTGTGGATTTATGTTTGGTTTAAATAATCTATTTTGGTATTATAAAGAAACCGTAAGAAAAAATGTTGAAATAACACATCATGCTTCAGGTGATGATTTATCAGCAGAAAAACATTTTGGAACGTATGTTACAATTGAATATTTCGTTTTATTTAAATAAACATTTCGTTTACTCTTTTTTCGTCATTTTCAACTAGAATGGCTACAACATTTAAAACTGTATTTTGGTCATTGTTTGGTTTAGCAGAAAAAGAAGGTGTAGAATTACAAAAATATAATAAACGTTTTACAGAAATAGTTGGATATTTAATTTATGGTGCATTTAATATTGCAAATGTTATTGTTTTACTTAATATGCTTATTGCTATGATGTCAAAATCTTATGAAACAATCGAAGAACATGCAGATGTCGAATGGAAATTCGCTCGGAGTAAATTATATATGGAATATATTAAAGAAGGTAGAATTTTGATTTATATAAAATAATATAAAGATGCAAATAAAAAACAGCGCTGCTATTCCTGATGTCAAGTTCATATACGTAGGTTTTTATCTATAGATATTCAGACCAGATATCTGCGGAACAGCTTAAAATTTACTCAACTGATTTATTAAATATCTGCTTCCGCCTTATCAGGAAAGTGCTTTAATAAGTGACCCTTTTTTTATAAATTCTTCAAGTATCCAGGTTAGATAAGTATAGTTTTTAATAACTGCACTTCAAAAGATACGATGTTTTTTTTTTATAGTTCAGCATAATAATCATATGTCTCTACCGATTTACAGTAATAAAAACACCCACTTCCTAGCGTTGTGTATACGGAGGTCGTTTATTATCTAACGAGGGTAGGTCCCCAACTGTCCAATCGCTTTTGAGTTCGGACCCTATGCATAAGGTAGAGCTCAGTGAGATATGAAAAACCCCAAAAGGATAGCGGCCCTTAGGCCATCTATCTCTAGTTATAGAGATTTTTCTGGAATTTCAGCCTATGGCATGGAATTTACCAACAAATCGAATGATGATATTTCGGGTTGAGATTTTGCCCATAGATAGGTCTAGTTGTGAGTAGAATGTCCTGAAAATTTCAGCTCAAAAGAATGTTTCCTTCTCGAGATATTAAAGTCCCAAAAATCACTCATATCTCACGAAAAAATGCTAGAATTTTCTGTTTTTTTGGACTTTAATCTCTCGAGAAGGAAACATTCTTTTGAGCTGAAATTTTCAGGGCATTCTACTCACAACTAGACCTGTCTATGGGCAAAATCTGAACCCGAAATATCGTCATTCGATTTGTTGGTAAATACCACGCCATAGGCTGAAATTTCAGTAAAATCCCTATAACTCGGGACAAAAGGCCTAAGGGCCGTTATCCTTTTGGGGTTTTTCATATCTCACTGGGCTCTACCTTATGCACAGGGTCTGAACTCAAAAGCGATTGGACAGTTGGGGACCTTCCCTCGTAAGTTTTTTTACATATTTCTCTATATATCATTTTATGACCTCATATATGATTACAAACATAATATTGAGTCCTCTGAGACGTCAATACACATTTGTATACGACAGTATATGGTTGTTTATGCATGTACACAGAGACCATATTCTTCGTCATCGAAGTACGTCATAACTATTACGTACTTTCTATGACGTCGAGGATATACAGGCTATTTTCAAAATACAAAAATAAACCCTATTGACAATTACTCATTGTTATAGATTTAGTTATATTCTTAGAACAAAGACACTATTAGTAGAAGACAAAAACAAAAGTTTAATCTCGCAGTGGCTACCGGGTGTTCTCCAATGTGATACCACGACTTGTCGCAGACCTCTAATTCAAAACCGCATACTTTAATTTAGTGTATTTCATGACAATATATAAACGAAAAAAATTTATCAGTTATTCATAGACAATGATCGAAGAGCAGAACAGTGATAACAGCAAAATAATCAGATATTTGAAGGTTTCTTCACAAGAATTTAGTAGATGAAGGAGACTAATAGCATTTTATATGAGTAAATATGTACTTACTAAAATCTATTGTAATCTTTACTCTTGTCTTATTGACAATAAAATGTTTACAATTTTAAATATTGTCGGCTTTTAAAAAAAGCATAGATCCATGCAAATATGCATAAATTGCATTAAAGTCGACATTTTTAGTTTTGAATACTAATCCGAAAATAGATGTTTACTTATGTTGAAATAACTGTATGGTTGTTAATATATTCTTTCTTGAAAGTATAACTAGTCATGAGTAGAGCTCATCGGATTCAAAATTCTTGTGTCAGAACCCGGTCGAACCGTACTTTAATACTTTCAATGAAGTTTTTTAATTGGAATTGGATAGTTACCCGGAAGATATGAGATATTTTTTTTTCGATTTTCTTTATTCGGTAAACAGTGCATCCTACACATTTCTGTGATGACTGGAGTCCACCTGATTCGAAACTTTCATATCCGGACCTGCATTCGGAACCAACCAGATGGACTGTATTTATGAGCAAGACTAACTCGTCTATAGTTCACTATCAATATTTTATTAAGATTAACTCATTACTGTACAATGAATTCGTATAAAGATACTATCTGTGTGAATAAGATACAAAGTCAGAAAAGCTGCATCATTACAGTACTCTATTTCTAGAATTTAATCGCACCTGAGATAAAGCAATCATCTTAAATTTCAATAGAAATAAATACAATCAAATAAGAATATAGGGTATGATTTAACTATTTAGAAGATAACTAAAGTTGATTCCAGTAGACTGATTTCTAAATCATAATAATTAATACGAGTATATTTATATATATAATTAGTAATAAATCTCGAAGTTGTTTATAATATTCTATGCTCTGTTTTCTTTTTTTTGAATTAACGTAAATTATGACTTCTTTTTCTTCTATTCAATCTTAGGTGGAACATTACCAGTTCCATTTAATATCATTCCAACACCAAAAAGTGTCTATTATTTATTTCGTCGAATATTTTCTTGTATAAAAAGATTAAAAGGTTCTAATAGAGAAACATTGGGTTCTAATGATACAAATAATTCTATACCTCCAACAAACTATTCATCAGGAGCAGGTCTTCGAACACCTAATATGGGTGGTAATGGTTTAACTACAGTAACTAATAGACAAATAACAAATGTAAATTTAAATGATACTAATAATTATCGAGTACGTCAAGGTTCTTTTGATATAAATCAAACATTAACTTATCGTAAAGTAATGAATCGTGTTATAAAACGTTTTCTTTTAAATAAACAACGTGAAGAACAAGAAGAAATTCGTGAAGGTGATTTTGAAGAACTGAAACAAGATATTCAAATGTTACGTATTGAATTGTTACATCGTTTGGATGAAACACGTGATAATTTATATAAAAATAGTGTTTTATTAAATGAAGGTGTAGTTGTTGTTGGAGAACTTGTATCAAATTTTATGAATGATAAAAATTCATTAAATAAAGAAAATTTTCATTTATTTAAAAAAAGTTTTTATTCAAGAACAGACAGTGGAGTTGAATCTACTACAGCGACATATAGTACAACATCAACGCCAAATTTAAATCAATCAATTCATAGATCAACACTCAATACAAATTCGAAACTAACATCAAATTTTTTACTCAATAATCAACAAGAATCAGATATTAATCCAATCGATGCAGTTAAACATATATGTGCAGCACATATTAAATTATCAGATATTACAGAAGAAGATGAAAATTTACATAAAACTTTAAAATATATTGATGATGATGTTGATGAAGATGTTGAAACTCGACATGTAACAAAAGGAACATCAACAGATAATGATGAAGTATTTTCTTCGAAATATTAACATTTTTATGTCGTGTTATGTTGCTAAGAACTTTTCTTATATATTATGCTTAAAATTTTCTTTTTGTTTTCAAAATAAATATTACTCATGATTATTCGAAATTATTTTAAATATCTTATTAAGTTTTCTATTGATTAGATTGAAAATAAAAATACTCTATGTGACACAGAAACCATAGCAGAAGTGAATATTTTGCATTGCTAACTTTCTTTTTCAGACATAATCAATCATTTAAGAAAGATCTTTTAACCAATATCGTCGATATCTTGAGCTGGTGCAGATAGTTTTCTTATTGCATATGTTAATAACAAGTTTTAAGATATATATTGCGTCTAATTTAGTTCACACTAGAAAGCGTCACAGATCCGTTTTCTCCGTCCTGCTCTGCATTCTGCAGAACATGCGTACGCAGTCATTCTATTTTACAGGACGATCTTTTCATAGCTTTGTTGGCAAGGATATTAATAGACGGACAATGAAAAAGGATAAGTATACTTTTTTATAGCTTTTTCTACAATTTTTAATATGTACGAATAAATAATGTTGTCAATTTGACTTGGTGATAAACGTGTTCGTCTTTGAGTAAATATCAATTCAGCTAAGCTAAATAGTCTTTCTTCCGAAGCAATAGTCACTGATATGGCATATATTCTTCTGATTACTATTTATAATAATGGGAAATCACGACAAGTTTCATTACTAGACTAGAACTTCATTGTATTGCGATCAATATGGTGTATCCAAAAAAAAAAAAGTTTTACTCTGTTATTGCATGTGCAGGAATAATATAAAACAAAATTGGTTATATGCAGAAAACGTGTGTTGTGACATTCTCTGGTTCACACAAAATACTAACATAGAGTAGTTGTTATTCGCCCCTATGATGATCTCTGGTGTGATAATAATGTCGTCAATTGCATAGAATACTGTTTGCCAATGGAATCTCTTTTCTCTCAATTTTATTTCGAACAGAGTTTGGATTGATACCTGTATTGTACTTGACGTGTGTTTCCAGTAACACCTTTATATCTTGTATGATACACATCAATCTTTTCAAGTTGTTGACAAATAGAAGAAAAAATTTCAAATAGTTCTTAAAATTACAAGTACTTGCTGTTCTTGAACATAGTTTTTCGTTGAATGGAGTACATATCAGAAATGTGTATATGGACATCTTGTACTCTTCAAAAAGATAAATACAATAAGCCTATTGAGTCTGAACTTATTTCAAATGCCATAAGAATTATAATAGAAATATTTGAATTTTATCAAAAGTACTCGTCCTAACTCTGATTTCGAATTAGTTGCGGATGCTTTCCTTTTTCTGAACCTTAGCTATTGATTTAGTTTAGACTATGTTTTTTATGTAAAGACATCTAAGAATATTAGTCTCATAGTCAAACAAGATTGCTGTTATTTCTCCTAGTTCATAACAGAGACCGAAACGAGTCAAGAAAATTTGGAATCGACTCGACTCGGTTTTGGTTTCTAGTTCGTAATCAATAGGTTGTGATGATTTAGTCTTTACGTAATTTGTAGAAAAGTACTCTGTGCGAGTTTTCTTTTTGACATATTAATATGACTAACTAGAGTTTTATGAAAGAATGAAAGATATTTGTACTCTTTCTTTTTGTCTGTTTAATAATAATTAATTTGAACATTATATAGAAGACCTCACTCATATAATTTGTCTTTGACAAATGAACAACACTAATAGAACGATCAATTATTAGCATGTTATTATTTCATCTATTCATTTTCATCTTTGAAAACGGATGAAATAAATGAATGAATCCCTCGGCTTGTCATCAATTTCATTATAAACTGTACAAAATAGAAAACTACGAGTTCACAAATATGTGGATTATTACTGTAGATAATTATTCTCTTAATAGTTTTATCTAATAGAACAAATGTGTACAACAAGGAAATAGCCTTTCACAACAACAAAAAAACAAAATAATAGAGTAACATTCAATCTACGGTCATTCATGTGCCCAATACACAATCTTTCGTTTAAAAAATAACTATTAAATAAATATAAACCTGCAAATGTCCAATTATCTTTCTCATATTGTCGAAAGGTAGTTATTCTAATTAGTAAACATTTGACATTGAAAGAAATATTTTTCTTTGATCCATTAAACATTCTATTTTATATATACGCTGTATTGAATGACACGTACTTTGTATGAATAAAGATAAAGAAAAGATAAATTTGTACATGAACTCACTAACATTGAATAGAAAAGAAGTTGTGCATTATTGTTGTATTTTGATTTCAATAATAATATGAGTTACAAACCTGTCGTAGACGAACAACAAAAATTGATGAATAAAAAGTTCATGTTACAAAGATGGTTCTATGCTTTAGTAGGAATTTTAACAATGATTCCAATTATTCTTCTTACATTTGGACAAATTCGAAATATGAAACGAGAAAATCATGAATTTGCTATATGTCTTTTACTTCTTGTTCACTCAGGTTTATTCATAAGAAAATAAAATTTATCTAAAATTATTCTCTTAGGATGTGTCATTTTTTCTATGGTTACAACAGCTTTATTTTATCGTAAGTTTTTATAAAACATGAAATAAAAAAGTAACTTGAACTCTTTTCTTCAGGTATTACTGATGCTCTTTTAACAACTTTAACAGTTATACTTCTATCGGCATATACTGGTATACATTTTTATATTCGTTTTCTGTTTGATCATCATCATTATGATGCAAAAGATGACTTTAATATTATCACTGTAAGCAAAATAATTAGTATTGTTGATGACATCATGCTGTTTATTTTATTATCTTTTTAGCTTCGATTAGGTTTTGTATTGTTTATGCTGATTATATTAATACCATGGACAGGTCTTATAACACATTCAAAGCAAATGAATACTAAAACGGAAACTTATTGCTCTCGAGCAGCAATATTTTCTTGGCTTCTAAACTTCGATTCAATGTTAATTGTATGCAGATATATATACGAGAATTATAAGAGACAATTTTATTTTCTAGATTTCTTTATTAACATTGAACATTCGTAGTCAAGCAGATTTCGGTCAATATCAAATACTTATACTATTCATTGGAATTCCACTTATTCTTTTATGGTTTTTAATAGGAAAAATTTTGGTAAAAATTGAATTTTTTTGTCGTTGTTGATTTTTGAGAATGATTTTTTTTATAATTTAGGTAAATAAAAAATCTCGTCATGGGATAGTATGGACTATTTTTTATATATTAGCAATAATACAAATCGCTCATTTAGCATATATTACTTATTGGGTGAGTTAATTATTTTTGTTTTGTTCTATGAAATTATTTCTAAATCTTTACTTATTTTAATAGTCTAAATATGAATACAGTTTGTTATCAAAAACAAATGCAACAAATTTAATGCCATTACTTATTATAACATTTATTTGTGGTGGTACAAGTGTTCTTATTCATTTCCTGACAATAATAATTAGTTTTTCTTTACATTGTACATAATTATATGTCGTTCTTTTCGATTATACTTAATGAAAAAAAAATATTTGATTTTGTCTATTAATCTTGTATCTCTTGCCTGACATATGCATCATCAATGTCATTTTGAAGACGACTGATTTCTATGATATGCTAATTGAAGAAAATTGTCATGAGAGTTCTCTTGTTATTGTTGTTTGATGTATCAGTGATTCGGTTGACATATTGGTGATCAGATTACAAGAGAAACAGAAAACGACATTCCGTGATTTGTTAATTTAGATCATTTATTTCTATAGTCTTTTCTTCTTCTTCTGACGAACATCGTGATTAGAAAACAGATTTTTAGTATGAAAAAAGAAAATAAATCACTCATTTCTTTTTCTTTCGTTGAGGATGTTGAGCAGATGCTTTTGTAACGATTGCCTTTTATATATATATATGTGTATTTATGGTCTCCGCTCAATCTTAGAAAAAAAAGAGAGAAAAAATTGATGACTATTTTTTCTTTCTTCGCTTCTCTTTCCCTATTTTCTATTATCAAAAAATATAACGTTCATTAACGTCTTTGTCTACTAATACTACATATTATATTGAAAAAAATAAAATAAAATTTATTTGGAACTTTTCTTGTGAACTCGTTTAGTTATCTTTTGATTTGTATTTTAAGGTTTGTATTTGATAGTTGCTTCTTGCCAATGAATTCATAAATACATAATCATAGATTGAAACAAAAGAATGATTGAATGTTAATGTATGATTATGATGGTTTATGAATGTAGAAGAGAACAAAGACAAGCAATTATATCGATAAACACATTGAACGACATTTTTGGCGGAAAAAAAAGAAAGAAAAAGAGTTGCCGTCTACTATGACTTAAATAAGATTTATGGCCTTACTGGAAGTTCATCTATCGATTACAAGAAAAAATATGAAGTTTCAAATACAATACTCATCAATAGGGATTTTCTGCTTTCCGCTATTTTCTCTTTTTTTATACCCATTCTTTATCTATGCATTAAATCCACTTGAATATATTTTGTTTTGTATTATGAGCTTTTGTTTTAAAGCTCATGATCGAGTATTATATATTAGAAATAAAAACGAGATCAATCGAAATCTTTATCACTACGACGATTTTTTTTTCTTTAGTTAAAATTAACAAGAAATGGACCATCTAAGTCTTCAATCAGTAAAAGACTTCTGGCAAAAATGGCGTTCATCTCGTGTACTCATTTTATTCATTGTATTTGTCGCTTTATTTCTAGACAATATGCTTTTAACAACCGTGGGCAAGTTGAAAATAAATCTTATTAAAATATAATTTCTATATTTTGTCTTTATTTTTATTCCAGTTCCTATAGTTCCTGATTATCTTTATTATCTTCAACAACCAAAAATCTATAATAATGATACTTACAAAGTTTTAGCAAAAAATTGCTCAAATAGTGAAATACTACGACGTCGAAATTATTTTCTTCGAAATCCTACCCAATTTCGTACTATGCTTCAAACATATTGTAATTGGACTCTTGATTGGGCAATGAATAGAATTGAAATTGAAAATAAACAACGAACAATGATTTTAGAAAAAGTAAAATTGATGATGATAAATAGAAACAAATAAATAAGAAAACAAAATGTTTATCTTCTTCAAAGGAAAATCAATGGGTTGGTATAATGTTTGCATCAAAAGCTTTTGTTCAACTATTAACAAATCCATTTGTTGGTCCATTAACAAATCGGTAAAAGAAAAATGAATATAATAATAATAATAATAATAATGAATATTTATTTTTGCTTTGTTATTTTTAGTGTTGGTTATAGCATTCCAATGTTCTCGGGTTTTGTTATTATGTTTATATCGACTCTGAGTATGTATATGTGGTGCTGAAGAATTCAATGATGAGAAAAACGGTTTTTTATGTTTTTTATTTTAGTATTTGCTTTTAGTAAAAGTTTTGGCCTTTTATTCATTGCTCGAGCCATACAGGGCATCGGATCATCTTGCTCAAGTGTATCAGGTAACGGAAAAACCATCATGTAGCTTATGTAAACTCCTTGTAGGTCTCGGTATGTTGGCTGATCGATACCCAGAAGATGAAGAGCGAGGAAAAGCAATGGGTACTGCTTTAGGTGGATTAGCCCTCGGTGTACTAAGTAAGTTATGTTATTCCTATGATGACTGTTAATTGATTGTTTATTATAGTTGGGCCACCATTTGGAGGATTTATGTATGAATATGTAGATAAAGCATCACCATTTTTAGTACTGGCTACATTAGGTTTATTTGATGGATGTAAGAATGAATTTTTTTCGGAAGATTTTTTATCGTTTTTTTTTCTCAATCGATAGTATTGCAATTAACAGTTTTAAAACCTGGCGTATCTAGCGAACCAATTGAAGGCGCTTCATTAAAAACACTTATTAAAGATCCATATATTCTTTTGGCTGCTGGTAAACAAAAAAAAATATTTCTATAGAAGCCATTGTTTGACTAGTTTAGGTGCAATCTCATTTGGTAATATTGGTATTGCTATGATGGAACCTTCATTACCAATATGGATGATGTCAACAATGAGAGCAACAGAATTTCAACAAGGTTTGATAGTTCATTAAATTTCAATTTAGTATATTGAAGTAAAACTCTAGGAGCTGCATTTTTACCTGCATCGATTTCATATTTGATCGGCACAAATCTCTTCGGACCAATGGCTCACAAGATGGGCCGGTAAGATTTTTAAGAATTCTTTTTATCTAAAATTTACTTTCAAATTCAGATGGCTATGCTGTATGATTGGTTTGTTTCTCATTTCAATTGCTTTGATTGGTGTACCAATGGCTACAAGTATCTATGGTTTAATTATTCCTAATGGTCTTCTAGGCTTTGCTATTGGTATGGTTGATTCATCAATGATGCCTACAATGGGTTATCTTGTTGATATACGTCATGCATCTGTTTATGGAAGTGTTTATGCTATTGCTGATGTTGCATTTTGTCTTGGTTATGCTATAGGTATCAATATAAATATTTTGTTTTTTTTCGAAGAAGAAATTTTTCTAACGTTTATTGATAAAATAGGTCCAGCTTTAAGCGGATTTATTGTACATGCATTTGGTTTTCGTGCTATGCTTTATATTATTTCATTTATATGTTTATGCTATGCACCTCTCATGTTATATCTACGAAATCCACCAGCAAGAGAAGAAAAAATGGTAAAGAAATTTTCATTTAGAAATTTTTATAACTATGTATTTTCTCTTTCTTTTTTGTTTTAGTCATTAATTACGAACGAAAATCGTAATTCATTTTCATATATACGTAGTAAATCATTGGACGACGAAAATGGTTATTGACTTGAATGTGCCAAAAAAAAAAAGATATATTTGAAATGAGTGCCATTATTTAAAAAAAAAATATATACTTAAACATTGATTGACATTGCAGCATCCGTCCGATTCTTTTCGCTAACGAATGCATCAATAGAAGAACGAAGAAATTTAAATGAATAATCGTTACAACACAAACTTGTTTTTTTTTTCTTCTTCTGTTCTTTCACAACAAAACACTTGAGGTTTCTTAATGAATCATTGTGAAGCAACAATAAAAAGTTTGTCAAGCAGTAAAAAATTCTCTAAAACGAAGTAATGTCAACGAATGAATCTCTTGCATGGTCTCGAATTGAAGTAATAAATTCTCCACCACAAGCACGTAGTGGACATAGTGCTGTTGTTTATAATGGTTCTATGTATATCTTTGGTGGTTTAGGTGAATTTCGCTGTAATGATTTATTTAAATTTGATTTTGAATCTCGTACATGGACTGAAATAAAACCAATTGATGAATCAAAAATTCCATCAAAACGATGTAAACATAGTGCTTGTATATATCAAAATATGATGTATATTTTTGGTGGTTGGGATTCATCAGGCAAATTAAATGATATGTATCGATATATATTTGATCGAAATGAATGGGAAGTTGTTCCTTGTTCAAATCCACCGCGTGTACGTAGTGCACATTCTGTTGCTATTTATCAAAACTATATGTATCTATTTGGTGGCATTGGTGATAATAAATTTAATGATATGTATCGATTTTCATTTAAAACAAATCAATGGTCTGTTGTTAATCAACGAAATCCACCTCCACGTCGTAGTTCATACGGTGGTGCACATATTTATAACGATCGTTTATATGTAGTATGTGGTTTAGGTTGTGGAAAATTTAATGATTGTCACTCATTTGATTTTCGTACATTAGAATGGACAGAATTAAAATATAGTGATGATTCACGTGTTATTCCAGCTAAACGTGGTCGTCATACATGTATATTATCTGAGGCAAATCTCTATATGTTCGGTGGTTATGTTGGTATACAACGAAGTAATGAATTATTTGTTCTTAATCTTCAAACAAATCAATGGAAACAATTAAAATTAGAACCAAATACACCAGCAGCACGCGAAGGACATAGTGCAGTTTTATATAATGGCTACATGTGGTTATTTGGCGGATGGCATGATAATGGATGGTACAATGATATTTATACACTCGGACCTCTTTAATATTTATTATTTACAGAGAAAAAATAAAACAAAAATGAAAATATAATTCTTTTTAATTATTATAGGCATAGTTAAATTGATGATGAAATTTTTCTTCATTTCGACGTCGTTCATCGTGATCTAGTGCTGCACCAATACGTTTAAGTGATGATCTAAATAAATTTTAAAAAAATATTAAAATAATTGAAATTCTTTTTTTTATACCGATTAAATATTTTTTTTTCTAATCGTTTTCGTACTGTATTTTCTTCAATATCAAGTTCAGTTAACCCAGATTCTTTTTTCTTTTTGTTCTTCTTTCCATTTCCTTCATTCATTCGTAAATCAATACCAGTTGCTAAACGAATATCTTCTAACATTTCAGGATCTTGCCATTCAGGTGTAGTACGTTTTTTGGCAAGTTGTTCTTCTTGAATTTGAATTTTTTCATCAACAGCTTGACCTTGTTCATTACGAGCAATAATTCGACCATGAAATGGACATTTATATCGATCCATTCGTTCACATAATTTTCCGTTACCTAATGAGGCTCGACATTTCCATTTAATAGCCGGTAATTCATTAACAAAAGTGCGTTTACGCATTAATAAAGAATAGTTTACACTCTGATAAAGAATAACTCAAAGAAGGAAATTTTTAAATTTTTTATTTACCTCAGGCATATCATTCTTTTCTGTAGCAGGTACAAAAGCATTTTGAACATCATTTTGAATAAAACTACGTTTTATACATTTGGAATCATCATGAAAAAAATATTTTATTTCAGTTTCAGTTAATGTTGGTATTGTTGTCTAGAATTAAATAAGTGGTCTTTTTAGAAATTTGTGAAGCAAATCTCTAGTGGCAAACACTTATATTTCATTTATAATAGAATGTAAAAAAAAGTAAAGATCCGACATATGAGTAAAAATTTTTGTCTATAAAGAAAACTGAAATTCTTCGGAAGCTCTAATTAATGAATTTTTGATACAAGCTTTTAGTCAACTGCTATTCAAAATATCCAAAGATTATATAATTAAAGTGTATTAAATATCAATGTTTGTTTTAAAGTATATATCAAGAATTAAGCCAGCAAATATGAAATATTAGGCTTCAATAGTCTTGAGATGTATTGTTTTTTTCTGAAATTCAGTTTCTTGTTAAATACTTATGTTTGGTAAAGGTAAATGGGGCTTTTGGTAGAATTGATCCTAGAAAAAGCATACATACCGATTCGATAGGTGAACATTGAGGTGCAGGTTCAGCTTTATGCATCGGAGCTAAAATATTTCAAACATTTTTCACATGTATGTTTTTACCGTTGCTCTCAAAATTATTCGATCAGGCTTCTTTTCAATCTTTTCCCACTGCCATCAATGCTAATAAAAGCTTATTAGCGCAGCCTGGTTGAGCCGAAAAGTAGAACTCACATGTCTTCTTTAATTTTATTTTACTAATACAAAATACACAAAGTGTAAAATCTTTAAAAGACGATAGTTCTTATCCAACGATAATCAATTGTCAGCAAACACTATGTTTTTTTTTTATTTCTACATTTCAAACAGAAATTTTGTTTTCTTTTTTTATTTCTCTTGTTGCTATTCACTTGATATTCGTTTTCCTTTTTGTTTCTATTTTATTTTCATAATTTATTATTATTACTCTAACCAGTGATTCAATGGGCATGCAAACCAGTTCTACATATTCGTTATATCTACAGCAAATTTTAACGATTTATTATGTATCTCGATGGACTCGGAAAGACTGAAATTCATTATTTTCAAAAGTTAGAACTTAATCAGTTCATGCTTATATGTTAGTCATATGAAAGTTGTAGGAAATCAAAATATCATCCTTGATATCTATCAAATACTCGGTTATCTGCGCAAAAATCAGAAACTGTATTATTTAGAATATTATAAAACGTATTCCAGTCGTTCGAATTTCAACGAAGGTTGTAGAATGTTCTACAACATTCTAAGCTTTGCTAATAATGTTGTTCAGTGCATTTAACGCGAGTAGCTGCAAAACTTCGACTACATTCGCTGTTCTTTTCAAAAATATACGTGAGTCCCAAAAAAACAAAATGCAAATAATGATTTAGGTAGGGAAATTTATTTCTAAAAATAATTTTTTAAAGATAAAAATAATTTCTAGTCTTCTGAGGATAGAGTTGTTTTTTCTATTATTCGGTATGAACACATCATTTTTGTGCCTTTAATAAACTTGATGCCTCTCAATAAACAAAATGCTGTAGATAACTGAAAAATATTTCATTTCGTGAAGAATTATTTTCTTTATCATTCTATGTCATTAAAACAAAGTTGTGATTGCAAATTCTAGAGTCCGAAAAACTTGATTTTAGGTTTTTCAAAGATTGTTTCCTCAAAAAACTAGCAATCATTTTGTACTTTTAAAAAGTTCTTGTTGAAAATAAAATTCTTTACTTAAATTATGATTTCGATTGTTCTTAGCGTTTACGGCAGCGGAAAAGGGTTCAAAATAAACCTAGTCGAATAATTTTTAGAAGCCATTATATATATATATATATTGATTATTCAATGAACCTGGTTTTTGTGTAACTACAGTTCTTTTTGGTGCTAAATGATAATTTTCAATCATTTTTAAACAAGATTGAATTGAATTTTTCAAATCAATTGCTTGTTTTATAACTGTTATTATTTGTTGTTCATTAGAATTTTGTTGAACTTTAATAAATATATTCATCCATGTTTGAATTTTATTTAAATAAACATCATTTAATTGTCGATAAAGATCATGGAGGTTTTCAACTACTGTACGATTATCATCTGTTATTTCAACATTAAACAAAGATGATTTTGGTCTGTCATTAACATTAATTGTAATAGTTAATTTCCCTGCCGTTCCTAGACCAAGTACTTGAAGAAGTTCTTGATCATTATTCTTTGTTGATACAAGTGGAACATCTATAAAATCATCGTCATCATCATCGTCATCATCATCGTCATCATCATCGTCATCGTCATTCTCGTTATCATCAATTTCTGTTATTGTTGTTGCAGTTGTTCTCGGAATCGATATTTTATCATTATTAGATACGAGTAAATTAAGACAATTTTCTGCTTGATCTATGTAAGAATAAATTTCATTTGATGTCTCTGTGAATAATAAATGAAAAAAATGTATTTTTTTTAAATAAAACTTTGAAACAAACCATTTAATTCTCGAGCAGCATTTTGAAGCTTTTGTGTTAGACGAATTTGATGAGCTTCATTTTGTTCACGTTGCAATTGAGCTGTGATACCAATTGGTTCATCAACATTATCAAAATTTAGAAATTTACAATTTTTTAAATAATTATAACTAATATCAAGTAATTTATAAGTTGTACCAAATTTTTCATGCCATTTTTTAATACATGTGGCTGCAAATTGTTTTAATAATTTAGCTGTTTGATTTGGTGGAGGTAATTGATTATCAACATTTAATCCTGAATACTTAATTAATTAAAAAAAACAAGACGACCTTATTTATTTGTGAGAAATTACCAAGACATTTATCAATAAGATAATTAAAATCATCAAGTAAAAGTGTTCGAAAATGATGGGAACGATTAAAAAGTTGATCAATTATTTGAACTGTTGAATAACGAATTTCCGAATGATATTTATCAAGTTGAGCAATTAATAATCGATAACAGTACTCAACATTGACATCAGTTTGCCTTTGAACAAAAAATTAAAATGAGAATCTTAAACTAGATTTCGGCGATGTTCATTGCGACTAGAAATCTGCCGCTGTTGCTATGGTTTGTGAGAAACTTTCCTAAAATCTCTTCTATCACTGTACTAAATTAGCATAGCTAGATTGAATCGATCAGATTCTTAGTGAATCGGATTGTCGAACTTGTAGATACTCAAATCGAATGAAAGTCCATGCAATTTTATAATGTTCTTAAAAAAGAAACTTCCGCTACTGCAATAGCAACTCTGAAGCATTTTTCGCACCACTACGACCATCTTTGCTTGAGTCACGCAAAACACACATCTTTTGCGTCTTGAATCTCTTTTGTCTCACCCGGTTAATGGAACAGATAGGATTATTTGTGGTTCGGAACTGCCCTGCAGGCTTCTAACGTAAAGATATGTCTGAGATAACTCAAACATAGTTGATCAAGAAGTTATGAAACGTTTAGTACAAAACACTTGTTAAAATAGAAAAAAGACTTCATCTTAATCAGTTATAATGTCTAATAATGACAGATACTGATTCAATTTATATTTAGTTGAACCCAATGAGATTGATAGAAGTCTAAATAGTTTGTTCATTCTTTGCAATGATTATCTATTTGTTGAATATCGATTGCAGTAAGAAATCAATGAAATAATTGAATTATGATTTTATGATTGCTCCGAATGTTCACCTTTCTCCAATTGAATATTCAAGAAAATTTTTCTTAAAAGCTCTACACGAACTGATGAATAATGCTGCTATCACGACAAGTTTACTAGTACTTGAAAATGTGTATTATACTAAAGATCTCAAACTAGAATTGCTCGACCACTTAATACCTTCAAAAATAAATCTGCTTTGAAACTAAAACTTTCAAGATTTTATAATAAACATAGATCATTTTTATCGTGAAACACGATTTAAACGGAGTGTTGAAATATATAGGGTAGAAATGTGCACCCCCTTCTCCACAGATCATGACAGATATTACGATGAAAGCATCATAGGCAATGACAAACGGGCTCGACAGACCATCAAAGACGTGGCAGACACTCTATCAACGACTCATACGTCATAGACCTTGACAGACATTATTGATATACGATCCAAGATCGTATATCAATAACATCTCGCTATAATATATGAGCTATTTCCTTATTACATTTCTCTAGGATTAACCAAAAGTATGACGAAGAAATATGTCGTAGAATAGTTAGAATAATACAAACTTCCTATGATTAGCAAAAACAACGATGTCGTATTTCATATTTTTATCCTGTAAGGATTGCACTAACACCTTTTTTTCCAGATTTAACTTATTATTTGGTGTTTTGTCAAAATTCGCATTCAGTTTATATAACATAAATCATCTATTTAATCAAATATATATAAAGAACTTACTTGCAAATCTGTTTAAGCTGCTTTATTTTCTCTTCATTTAATGTTTTTGAACCAGATGTAGTTAATTCTTGAACTAAATTTGATAAATTCTGTTCAACTAATTGATTCATATTGTCTAAAGAATAGGATTTATCAACATTGAATATCCTTTTGTTTTTACGTTTCTTATATTAAAAATAATTTCTTACTTTTTATCTTTTTATAGAAAAAGCAAGATCTTTTCTCATTAATAATTAACTATATTTGTACTATAATAACAATACTTATATAAAAAAAAAAACAAATATGAATATATACAATAAAAAATTGCCTAAAGAAATCAATAAAAAATACATCTTCACAATCAGACCTAAAAATATCAAAATAATGAAATGACATTGATTTAGTAAATGATCAAATATGAAAACTTCGTCTTCATTTTGTTCATGTTCTTGCTTGTCATTTACTTTCATCTATAACAATCACAGTATATCTTCCACAATTGTACATTACAACTTTTTTTTAACTATTAATCCACTACCGTGTAACGAATATCAATAGAATCAGAAGGAAGATTTGTTGTTCTCTGCAAAAATCTCCATTGTAATACATTTATTCGATATGCTTCATGTCCGCTTCAGCATTTATATTTTGTACTTGTACAGTAATAATTGGAGCACATATAACAATTAGATCAAAATTAAAAATTATCTATTTATATAATTTTTAGCAACACATTTATATCAATCATAATCGTCATCCTAACACTTTCAATAATATATATATACCACTATATTATATTGTATATGTTTTGTCCTTGTCATATTCACGTTAATAATGAAAGTGAATTACCTTGTACATGACATGCAAGTGTTACTGAATCATTAGCACGTATGTGAACATCTATAATAATATAAATAATTGATTGTGAAACAAAATACATTTACTGTTTGTTTAAGACATACTTGGCCTACAATATTTGCTAATTTACAATCAGCAGTATTTGAAATAGAATTTTGTATAGAATGAAAAGCTATCAATGTAATTTCCATATAAAAATCAAATATTTCTACAAATTAAACCATCATTTCTATATTTTTTTAAATAAAATACAAAATAAAATCAATCAAAAAAAAAATATTTTTTTTAAAACAAAATCACTTAAAAATAATCATTTCTTAAAAGTTTCAATTCGATATGACTCGAGAATATTGACGTAAAAATGTATGAAAAAGATATAACTAAAAAATAAAACAAACAATGAAAAAAAGTAGTAAAAATAATCACATTTTATCATTTGGAAAAAAACAATTAAATCACACATTAATTTTATTTGCTTCAGGTAAATAAGCTTCCCAGATTTGTAAAATTTTATTTTGTTGTTCTAATAAATCATTTAAATAGCTATCAATTGCCTTTCTAAAATCATCAATACGTGTTTCATCAAATGCATCCATTTCTTGTTTAATTGTGGTTGATATATTTTCAAAATCTTCTTTATCATGCGTAACTTTAGCTTCCCAGTCACGTATATCCATTTCAGCTTGTGGTAATTTATCAGCATTTTTTGGTGATTGTTCTAATTTTGTTTTTGTTTCACGTTTTTTTCTTAATGTATCTTCATCATTTAACCAGTGTTGATGTACTTTAATACGTTCATGAAATGCTAATTGGACCATTTCTAGTAAAGAAACATATTCTTTTATTAATTCTGTTAGTGTTGAATATTCTTTTAGAGCTTGTTCATTATGAACTTGATCTAATTTTTCTTCAAGATTAGCCAGTTCTATTAATGCACTTGATAATAATGGATGTTCTTCAGTTGTAGCTAAATGATTAAGAGATATTGAAAAACCTTTTAACGCATATCCAGCCTCTTTGCGTTGTAAAAATAATGTATTAAATTGATTATATAAATGTTTTAAATGCTTATGTAAATCATCGATAAATAAATATTTTTCTTCAAACCATTGATCTTGTTCACTTTTTTTCGTTCCTATTTTTGTAACTTGATTTGATATACTTGTTAATGCACGTAAAACACCGGCACCACTTAATGCTTGTGTACTTGTTGATTTAGGTAATTCATTAGGCATTTCAATAAATTCTCGTACATCAGGATCTTCAATTAATTTGTCATGTCGTGCTAAACGATTTAAATAACGTTCTAATAATGCACGACGTCGATCGATAAAATCTGTTGGTATAGATTCATCTTTAGATATTTTAACTTTTGCCATTGATAACGAATCTTTTTCTGGAGGTGATGGAATTATAACACCGACATGTAAATGTTTATGAACAAGTTTAACATGTAAACCAAGAAAATCACTAAAACGTCGTAGAACTGAAAATTCTGATTTATTGAACATTGGTAATGTTGTTTTTGTTGTTATACGATAAGTTAAAAAGGATGACATACCCTATAGAAATACAACATAAACAATACAGAAAGAGAAGGTAACAGTCAAACTCACTTCTCCAACTTTCGTAGGATCACTAACAGTGATTTCAATAGTATGTTCACGCGAACGTTTTTGTACTGGTTTGCTTTCTGTTGATGGTTCACTTAGAACACTCTTCGATGTTGGTGTCGATGATGAAATCTGACTTTCAAATGGTATGTTTGATTGTACAGGTTTTGCTGAATTATCACTTGAGTCAGTTGAAGGCAATGAAGTCTCCTGTTTTAGTGGTGTTGATGGCTGCGATAAATTAAAATTAGAATTAGTTGAAAAATATGATATCTTATCACTTACCGGTGTTGATGGTTGGCTTTCCGATACAACAATAGGCACTTGAGGTGAAACAGGTACTGATTGATTATAGTTCGTATCTGCCGCTTCAAATAAATCTTTATCATCTTCATCAACTTCAACCGTTGTTTTATCTTTTTGAAACAAAGTCTTTTCATTATCAACATATGATTCAACAGTATTTGTTGTATTTGTTAGTGTTTTTTCTCTAGTTGTAGATGGTCCAAATGGATTTTCATCATCATCTTCACCGCCACTTAATGATACATCAACTGTTGCTGGTGACATAGCTGATACAAACATTACGTCATCATTTTTCGTATTAACATTGTTAGTATTATCATCATCATCATGACCAAAATCTGGTGGTTGTTCACGTTGTTCTTGATCATCGGACATTTTTGAAAAATAAAATCTACAAAGAATTGAGACAATCACGAGATTTCTTGTTTAGTTGGGATTTTTTTTTGGTGCATATTTAACGAAGAAAAAAATGCTTCTTTTGTAACATTTAAACTATAGAAAGAAGAACAAACACAGAAGATCCATATGATCGATCGTCGAAAAAAATATATATATAACATAGATGAACAAGTTATTTTCATATGGCATGTCATATTCCATCAGCCTGCATAGATAAATTTATGTTTGATATTTCTTTGTAAATATTCACACTGCTACAAAATAAAAGAAGAACAGCAAAGACAAATTGTCTTATAGCAGTATGAAATAATAGTCATGATGGATGGTTTTTTTTTTTTTGTTCACTGATTATTCGTCGATACGCTACTGTTCACATTAAGCGGCGACGAAGAATTAATCGAAGATATAGAGGCACCAGCTGAAAATAAATAAAAATTTGATAAAATAGAAAAATGTATTTATATACCATTATTTGAGAGCATAGCTTGAGAAGTTGTATTAATTGGACGACCTTGATCACGGACAATAGGGTCTAAATAAAAATAAATCAATTTTTTTTTAAATGAATATCTTAATCATACAGAAATATGGATGATCCATAGCTTCTTTAGCTGTTAAACGATCATTATGATCATAACGGAGAAGTTTATCTAAGAAATCAAGTGCTTCTTGACTAACAAGATGTTGATTTTCTGAATGAACAAATCGTTCCCATCGTTTTCGTGAATGTCTATAAAGATAAAAATCGTCAAATAAAAGAATATTTCTTTTTTGTTTACCTTCCAAGAATTTCATTAAAACGTGGATCAAGTTCAATTTGATATTTTTCAAGATATTCATAAAGTTCATCAGTACCAAGTACTTTAGCAATACGAACAAGCTATTTAAATAATAGGAAATATTAATTTTGTTTTTATATGAATCAAGAAAGAAAAATGATAAACGAACTTGATCATAATTATCATGTCCATGGAAAAAAGGTTCTTTACGAAATATCATACTAGCCAACATACAACCTAAACTCCACATATCAAGTGAATAATCATAATATTGATAATCAACAAGTAATTCGGGTCCTTTAAAATAACGTGATGCTACTCGAACATTATATTCTTGATTTGGATGATAAAATTCAGCTAAGCCCCAATCGATTAATCGTAACTAAATGGTTTTTATTTAATATAAATTAATAAAAATTAAAAGATAGAGCTTTTTCTCTTACTTTTCGATTTTCATGATCAATCATTACATTGTGAGGCTAAAGAAAAATATTTATTTATCAAACTAAAAAGAAAAGATAAAGATGAATTATTTACTTTCACATCACGATGCATGATTCCCATACTGTGACAATAATCGAGTCCCTAGTAATAAGAGAAAAACGAAAAGATACATTAAGTTCTGATTATTTGAATGTATTTTCTGTTTAATACAAAATCGAGATATTTCATTGTTCTTCTCTACCGAATTGTACTCATTTTATGAATGATGACAACAGCATTTTATTCTGTTTCATATATTTGCATCTCCAGAAGAGAAATACTAGTTACACAATCGACTAATCTCTTCAAGAGCTTTATTCATGCAAATTTCAAAGTCAAAATTCGAAAGTAGATATTCAACATGCTCTGGAAGGGTAGGATAGAAAAATCAGTAAAGTTTCATTATCTGAAGAACGAAGGTTCACAAAACCAAAACATTCTAGACTGTTTTTTTACTTACTGGTACTCATCAAATAAATATAGTCTCAGCCGAAAAGTGATTTGACACCTGGAGGAGTTCCCTCAATAGTTAAAATATGTTCTGAGTTACTGTTAAAGTTTCTACCGTTAACATATATATAATTTATTCTTTCTTGCATAACAAGACCTTCAATCTGATTTGTTTAACAAACGAGAAAGAATTTACGATACAGTCTAATAGAAAAAACTTTGTACTCACGAGATGATCTT